CTACTACTACTACTACTACTACTACTACCACTACCACTACCACGACTACCACTACCACTACCACTACCACCACTATTAATTAGGTTATAATATTATTATTGTGCAAAATTTAAGATGTATTATATTAAGTATATAGCAATAAGTTACCCTCTTTTGTCAACAATTTTTGTAATACTATTTAAAATTTTTGGCGTTTGTATTGAAGGCTGTACATAAAAATGTCTTTTACAAAAAAATATCAATGCGCCAAAGACAACCCATAAATATTGCTTTTGTGTATTCGTATGTTCATGTGACCACGGCTACGGGTATAAGGGTGAATAAATCGGATCATTAGAGCGCGATCAATCGACCTCGGTGTTATAACGTAGTCACCTTTCAGCATCTCTTATCATCGCCACTGACAGCGCAAAATTTTACTATCGAACGAGCGTCGCAATACGCTCAAGATAATAGTACACTTTGTGTCTTGGACATGAATCTGCGAATAGTTTTTAACTTTGTTTGACAGTTTTAGTTTTCAAAGGCCGGTGCTCAGTTAACCGGCTTATCGACTATATGCCCTTCCTACATGGTTCTAACATAGTAGCATTCATTTTTATTCCTGTACTTATAAGCAAATTAAAAATGTTGATTTTATATAAGGATGTAATAAATATTATTTACCTGCATTCGATATAGTTATATTAGATATAATAAATGAGAAAATAAAGTCACTAATTAAAATATCACATGAAAGTATTTCATTGCAGCTTACGAAATATTTCATCGCAGAAAAATGCTTATTTATCCCATAAATTATCGTTTCTAAGTACGCTGTAAGCGATAGCAAAGCGATTATTCTAAATATGAAAACTATTAATTTTATGTATACATAATAAATAAACAAAAATTATTAGAATTATCAAAATTCGGTATAAATCTTTATATTTATATAATAATGAAAAATTTTTAATGGCGAAAGCAACTTATTGCATATATACAAATTGATTAATTTTTATATAATTTTTATATGAACAATTTTTAATGGCGAAAGCAACAAAATTGAAATTAAGAAGTATACATTCAATCTAGATACTTAAATATTTCCGAAGTTCACGCAAAAAACGAAGATTAATCCATTTATAAAAAAGGAAATATGAAAAACTCACGCCTCACTGAATCCATTCACGTGCAATATCCTCATCTGTTTGACGATTGTACTTTTACCGGATTCACCCGCACCTACAAAATGTAAAAATAAAATATTTTACAAAATCAAAACGATTTACATTTAGTCTACAATTTTATAAGATTATTTGTTATGAAGCTATCAGTTTTTCATATTATAAAAGTAATATATTACTATTATACACGCTGTATAAATGTTTGAACGTTAGAATCTTTTAATTAAGAAGAAATTATTTTAACACCATATTACGTTTTCATATATATAAATAAAATGTCAATTGTAATGCTATAAATAAATATTCAATATTTTTTATATAAAAATAATAGAAATTTATTAATAAATAAGGTTTTTTTTCATTATTTACTTAATTTTTCCATTGATTATTATATTATTTAATATTATATGATTATTTATAATTTTTAAAAAAAGACTTTTCTAACATTAAATTACACAAAGACAATCAATAAAGTGAAGAAGTAACTTTGATAGACTGAAATAAAGCATTCAGACTCGAAGGACCTTGTTGCAGTAACGATAATCGCTCAATAATTTTATGAACATAGTAGTTTAAAATAGAAGAAATCATAATAAACAATAATTAATGAGCATAGCAACGACAAAAAAAGTATTATTATAACAATAATAAGCGAGCATATTATCATTTTGAAATTGTAAGACGTAATGAATTTCATGACTATAGTGCTAAATTCTAATATAAATATTTTAAAATGTATTTAAAGTTAATTTTGAGGCTATTTTCTATGCTCCGGCATGCATCAATGTGTTATGACACATTAAAATTAATTATATACTTCACAATAATCTTATTATAATAAAAACTTGCATAGATTATTTGAACATAGAGTTGTTATATTGAAAGCTAAGCGTTAAATGGAGGTGACAACTGTACAAGAGTAGCTCGTAAGTACCGCTCGTTTAGAGTAAAAAAAATAAAGCTATTAGATCGTAATAAGAATGAGTGAAAAAAGAGTAAAAGAGTTCAGATGAGCAAAGAAAGAACAAAGGTAGAGTTTATAATTCCAGCCGAAGTTTACAAAAGCCGAAACGGGTGAAAGTGAAATTACCAAGCAGCAGGAGCCTGTGCGTGGCCCTGTAAACCTGCTTATCCTTTTGCAGCTGGCGAGTGATAGCGTCGGAGCGCCTCTTCTGATTTTTGCTATCATCCTGACTGGCCTTGCTGCTTTGACTGCCGAAGCACCCCATGACACACGAAAGACACGCGAGTGCTTCCCCCGCACCACCACCACCAACTTCTTCCTGTACGGTGGCGGCGGCGGCGGCGGCGGCGGCGGCGGCGGCGGTGGT